AATAGACTTCTAACTTGAGACTCAATTAGATCATGCAGCTGACGTAGTGCTTGGATGTTAAGGCCTGATTTGACTGAGTTTATGTTTAACAGAGTCTCCATGTGCCTATTGATTATCAACTGTTTGTTCCCAAACCTTCTCTTCAAGATGGCAACGGCCTCATCATAATTTGCAGCAGTAAGGGACAATCCAGAAATGGCTTCACAAGCTGACTTTACGAGAAGAGAGTTCAGGTAATTGAGTTTATCTATGGGAGCTAGTTTGGTATTGTTGTGCACAGAAGATTCAAATGCATCCCAGAACGAGGGCCACTTGCTTATGTCTCCATCAAACTTTCTCAGGTCTAGTTTAGGTAATTTTACTTGTGTTCCTAAGCTATATGTATTAGAAATACCTGATGTGGAAGGAGTCAAGGGTGTTTCCGAAGTCGCTACGACATTTCCGACATTTCCATGCGACGTAGAAGTTAGATGAACTTCTGAAGCCATCGAAACATTCTCGGTCGATGCAGGAGGAGTTAAATGTGTTTCCAAAGTCATCGTTTCATCATCTCCAGGTAAATTAGAAGAACTTGGATGTGTTTCTGAAGTCATCGAGACATTTCCAGGTGAGTTAGATTTTCCTTTAGACGTTTCTGCAAGTGACGGTGCGATTGCAAGTTTAGACGAAGGGGTCGATTGGCTAGGAGTCAATGCTTCATCGATCCTCATTATTGCCAACTGCGTAAATTCCACAAATTCGTCCGCTTCACAAATTTCTTCATCTATTTGACCTTCGCTGACAACTGTGAGGATGTCTTCATCTAAATTTCGAATTGTGCCGAGCTTCTCTTGTAGCAGGAGTTTCTGCTGTCGCAATCTTGTAATATTGATGGCCGATGGCTGATCCTGTTCTTCAAGGGTTTCCAAAATCTCTTCTACAGACGAAATAATTTTCCTTGTTGACGCTCTGTGGCCCATACAGATCTTCCGTTTCCTTGCCAGCTTTCCAGACATAAAGATAGACGCGATTAATCCAACAAAAGATTCAAATCAAAACATTAAGGAGCTCACGCTTATCTCGTTCAATTCAGTTTCCAGAAGATCTCTGATCGGAATCCGTTTTTATCCGACTCGGTGGACCATGTGGAATATTAAATTTTAACAATCTGTTGTTGTTCTCGTAGTTCGCGGTCCGCTCAATCATTCGAGACAGAAGAAAGGCTCGTTTCCGAAAAAAAAACATTTAATAACAACAACATTACCACACCATCTTGAAGGCGTGCTCATTCCTTTTTCTAACCACAATACATTGCGAACATAATCGTGACGCGACGTCACGACATGTGTAACGACATCTGCGTCACATATCTTCAAGTGCAGATGGCTTTCCTAAGGTAATATTTGCAAATGTTGTGAAGCTAAATAGTACCGCAAAACTGAGCAGAAACTTTCGTACTTTATATGCTTTACCGGACACGAAATGAGCACGGCAAACATGAGTTCCATCAATCTTTTTTTCGGTGAGATCTTTGCTGTCTCTTTTGATATTTTTGATCCACTGTTGTCTTCGCTCCGCGGAAAGTTTTCTAGTTTTCTCTCCCTGATGAGGGATTATTTTGGGTATTGTGAAGAAACTATACTCTTCTGTCTAGAGTATTATTATGCCCACAATTAAAAACAGCACAAAGAGTTGGCATGATAAAGAAAATCACCAGTTTTAGCTTCACGACTGACTACACGTGCAGCCAAGCTTACGCTTTCGCGCGTTTGTATATCTTCCAACATGGCTGACTTCCAGCTGTTTTTTAAACCTGACCTCAGAAGAAGTGACGTCAAGTGAAAACGA